AGGTTCTCCCATCACATCAGAGTCCCCCTTCAAATCAGGTGCCTTCCCTTTACACCAGAGCCCCCTTCCTTTCACATTAGAAGCCCCCCTTCACACTATGGGCTCTCTTCACATCATCAGTAGCCCCCGCTTCACATCAGAGACCTTGATAATATCAGAAGCCTCAAGGTGTGGCAGCATGGCAGAGGGTGAGAGGTGAAGCAGGTCTAGATGAGGAAAACAGAAGGCACCCTAGGGTGCCGCAGCACCATGGTTGAGAAAGGCTGACCTATATCAAGATGGCCACCTCCATACAGAGACGGTGCAGAACAAGGCATGGAAAGTCAGTAATGGGGAAAAGATCAGCTGCAGGGAGACCACAGGCAATACTGATGACTATTTGACTCAGTTTGCCTTGCTTGGGCACAACTTCCACAGTTCAGGTCCCCTTTATTGAAACAAGGGTGCGTAGTGATAGACACATATGTGATATTTACATAATCTATTATACTAATAACCAAAATGGCTTAAAAAATGAATCCAGTACAGGTTTGCTTTAGAGAAGACATGGCAGAGATATTGAATATGTAGGCTGCCATTTCTGACCTTGTGGCTTTGAAGAGTTGAACTTTGTTTCCATCAGCTACCGTGTTTCCCCGAAAATAAGACAGTGTCTTATTTATTTTTTTGCACGAAATAAGTCACTAGGTCTTATTTTCGGGGGATGTCTTACCTGGCTGGGGGAGGACCGGACGAGGTCCCGGAAGGCGGCGTGCTGTTGCCGGTCCCGGCGGATGATATTCCGCTTCCATCGTGCGTGCGTGCGTGTGGGCGGGAGCTGCGGCCGTCGGGCGTGTAGGCGGGAGCTGCGTCTGGCGTGTGGGCGGGGCGGGAGCTGCGGCCGGTCTTTAGATTCAAAATTCAGTTTATGTGCCGCTACCCCGAAAGTAAGACCTAGCGGATCTCTGTAATATAAGACCTACCACCGAACTAGGTCTTATTTTCGGGGTAGGTCTTATATTACAGAAATCCCAGAAGATAGCGCTAGGTCTTATTTTCGGGGAAACACGGTAAATACATTCCAGCTGCATCAAAACAAAAGCTGTGCAAAGTCTTTAGAATGCAGCCACAACCTGAGGAGAAAAGCCTGGCCCCTGCCAGCATGCTTGTTCTCTGTGTGGAAGCAATGGTCCCTCCGCAGAGATTTGACACACACCCTACTGAGCCACAACTAAAGTTCTCCATTCGGTATAGCGCATGCTCACTGCTGATTGGAGAGCTCTGACTAAGCAGGAGGCGTGTTGGAATTCTGCAGAGGGACCACTGCTTCAACACAGAGAGCAAGTGCCCTCATCTGAGGCATACTGGAAGAGGGCAGGCTTTTCTGTTCAGGTTGTGGCTGCTTTCTAAGAAAACAAACTATAAGACTTCACACACCTGTTGTTCTGATGTACCTGATTAACTGAATTAAAGTGAAGGTTCACTTGGACTTCAGGTTCCTGAGCGGTGGAGCGCTATGCCAAGCAGAGATGGATGTTATAACCTGGCCTGCTCTGTAGTAGACAAGAACACGCACAATGAAAGCACGCTCTAAAAATATTCTGCATTCTTTATTGTTTTATTTCACCTTCCAAAATCACTTGAAGTACTTACATATGTTATTATGGCAGTATTATAACTCCTATCATTTCACCTCCCCCATCATAAAGTCTAGGAAATATCAACAAAAACCATCAATCCAAGCTCATGTCTTCTGCAGAACAACAAGTCAAGTATCAGTGTGACAGTACAATTCAATCCGCTGAACTGAAGTAATGAGAACATTGCAGCGTGTATGGGAGTTGTATGTGTTATAAAATGACTGAGAAATACAGATGGCAAATTCCGAGATTAAATCCTTCCTGATAGTGGCACCTGTAGAGGAAACAAATAAGGATGCATGAGTTTCTTTTACTGATTTGGAAGTCACAAAAATGCACAGAAAAGCTGGAAAATCTAAATGACTCCAATTTCTGAAACTGTCAGTTGCTGGACTGTTAAGGTGCCCATACACCTTACGACCATCGCAAGACTTTTGTCTTGCGATGGTCGTATGCTTCTTGAAAGCCCGTACGATCTTCCCACCTTGGACGGGCAGATCGTACTTGCGATCATCGAAAGCCCGCCCCGCTGAGGGGCGGGCTTCCAATGACGGCAATGCAGAACGGGCAGTGTGTGCGTGCGCACACCGGCCCGTTCCGCAGCTATCGGGCGAGCAGGCTAGAAACCCGCCGAGAATCGTAAGATTCTCGGCGGGTTTTCGAACATGTTGGCTCGACAAAAGACGTGCGACCGCACAGTAGAAAAAACTGATCCACCGTATCAATGACACAGGATAAAACTGATCCACCCAGTCACTAACTTAGAAAAAAACTGTTCCACCGTCTCAATGACCCAGGGAAAAACTGACCCACCGTGTCAATGACCCAGGAAAAAACTGATCCACTGTGTCAATGACCCAGGAAAAAACCAATCCACCGTGTCAATGACACAGGAAAAAACTAATCCACCCAGTCACTAACCTAGAAAAAAACTGATCCACCCAGTCACTAACCTAGACAAAAACTGATCCACCCAGTCATTAACCAAGAAAAAAACTGATCCATCCAGTCACTAACCAAGAAAAAAACTGATCCACCCAGTCACTAACCTAGAAAAAAACTGATCCACCCAGTCATTAACCAAGAAAAAAACTGATCCATCCAGTCACTAACCAAGAAAAAAACTGATCCACCCAGTCACTAACCTAGAAAAAAACTGATCCACCCAGTCACTAACCTAGAAAAAAACTGATCCACCCGGTCACTAACCTAGAAAAAAACTGATCCACCCAGTCACTAACCCAGAAAAAGACTTACCCACCCAGCCACTAACCTAGAAAAAAACTGATCCACCCAGTCACTAACCTAGACAAAAACTGATCCACACAGTCACTAACCTAGAAAAAAACTGTTCCATCATGTCAATGACCCAGGAAAAAAAAGTTCCACCATGCCACTAACTTAGAAAAAAAAGTACCCACCAAGTCAATGACTCAGAAAAAAACTGACCCACCAAGTCACTGAGCAAGAAAGTCAGAGCAAAGTCAAATGTCCTGGTCTATGTATTTGTTCTAGGAACCCAAAGCATCAGCATGACAGACAACTAGCACTTTCAGAAGGGGAGATTGGCAATGGCAGACTCTATGTTCCTACATGAAAAGTTATCTAGGAGGATTAAAACCTCTGTCAGCTGTCTATTGCTCTCTGTATGCCCTTAGGGGAGATTTCCCTTTACTTCCTGTTCCAGTGACCACCTGTCACCCAGATAGCAATTGAAGCTGAACAAGAACACAATCTGTCTCTGGGAAATGTACCTTTTAAAATGATCATCATTCCTTAGAGTAAGTACCTCCAGTCCCTGTAGTGAGCAAATTCCCCGACAGCCCTGCGTGTTGTACGTCTCACACCCATCCCCACCACTTTCCTCATGTTTTATGGCCATGGTAGCAGGCTCATATTAATTCTGTTATTACGGCGTTGGACCCAGAAGATGGCTGTGTTCCTGGACCCAATAAAACTTGTCTGCAAACGTGACAGTTACGGCAGATCATAGCACGGCCCAGCTGAGCGCTATTGACAGCTGTCTAACTTTACGGGAGAAGACCATGCCAAGCTTCCAATGACCACAATCCTGTATCCGGCCGTGCTGCCAGCTGTCACAGGGGAAAGATATACCTCCAAGAACCACAAGATGCCTTCTTACATTTAAAGTAGAAAGAATAGGTTACCAGCACTCAAAATAATTTCAAATAGATAAGTCCTTTTTATTGGACATACGTGTCACAATAGTCAAATAGCCTATTTGACTATTGTGACACGTATGTCCAATAAAAAGGACTTATCTATTTGAAATTATTTTGAGTGCTGGTAACCTATTCTTTCTACTTTGTGCATTACACGGTGCCATCCGTGGGAGTTACTGCAAGCACCTCATCTCTACTGGCCGGGACTGCTGAAAGGTGTGCGGAGAGCACCCTCACCAATTACTTCTTACATTTAAAGACACAGAGTAAGCAGGCCGACATGTTCTCAGTGATCCTTGAAATGTGATCCCTGGCATGTAGACAAGTTATTTTTACCAGTCAAAGCTCCTTAAATACATTTGTGACTACAGAGCCCAAATAATATACATCATTATAATAAAGCTGACTTGTGTCCAGATCCCCAGGAGAAAGCACTACATGGAAACTGAACATTCCTACCATTTTACAGTGTACAGAGGACAGATCAGAGATATAGAGCCACTATAGAGCACCCTCAGGACAACATCCAGCCACAATCCTTCCAGTTATAACTATAATACAGTTGACTTGTGTCCAGATCCCTACCAGAAAGCACTACATGGAAACTGAACATTTCCACCATTTTACTGTGTGAGGACAGATCAGAGATATAGAGCCACTATGCAGCACCCTCAGGACACCATCCAGCCACAATCCTTCCAGTTATATCTATAATAGAGCTGTTCTGAGTTCAGATTCCTAGCAGAAAGCATTACATGGAAACTGAATGTTTCCACCATCTTACAGCGTGAGGACAGATCAGAGATACAGAGCCCCTATAGAACACCCTCAGACACATTCTAGCCACAATCCATCCAGTTATAAGGGTATTTGTCAATGGTCTATGAGTCTGCGTCGATGGATTCAGTTTGACATCCGTTTGAGACATTTCTTTGATTATTCAGAATTTGCTGACCGGTGCATTAGACCTGCAGTTGACCTCCACCTGCATTGACTTTCTTCAAGCAGGTTTTGCATTCCCATAGACTAGTATAGGAATGCAACACCAGGCTGAAGTGAACAGAAGCCCCATATGAAGCTATCTGGTGTTTAGATCCCTAACAAGATGTTCTACCTGACAACTGAACATTGCTACCGTATTACAGTGTAAGGACAGATTAGAGGTGAACAGCCCCTATAAAGCACCCACAGAAGACCTACCTGTCAGCCTTCATCCTGTCATTTACTGAGGCACTGCAGAAGAAAACAGAAAACATTATTCACAAGATGAAAAGAATTGTTACAAACACAAGAAAAGGTGACTCCAACCCTGCGGGCTACATTCATATGCTGACCCCGACACTGTGAGAGTCATTCCCATACTGTTGCTGCACCTGCCACCCATACAGACAGCTACTCTTTGGGATGAAGAAGGACTTAAAGCATTTCTAAACCCACCCCCAAAAAAATTCAATATATTGCACCTTATCAGTCCTTCCTTATATGTAGTAACTGCTAGGGATGCACCGATACTTTTCAGATACCAGTGCAGATACTTGGCATTTTCATGAGAACTACCAGGGTTGCAGCGGTTGCAGCTGGGACCGGGCTCTGGCGCTCCACCATTGTCCTGAAATCATTAGTCTGTATTGTTTTAGAGAAACTGTCACATGACAATAAACAAAAATGTATCAGTACTCATATCTGTGAGGACTTGGAGAAGTATCAGTACTTGTGTCTGTAAGTACTTGGAGAAGTATCAGTACTCGTACTCGCAAAAATGGTATTGGTGCATCCCTTTATTTATATTTATAAAAACAAAATCATACAATAAAACAGATGTACAAATCCCAGGAGCTCCGAGTGCTCCTTACACATGACAGCCGCCGCCTAACTTTTGAGTTTTTCTCTAGTCTAGTCTAGTTCTGGAGCTGGAAAAGTATCTGTACTTGTACTTGTGCCGAGTATGGTACTTGGTATCGGTGCATCCCTAGTAACTGCGCTCCTTTCCATTGTCAGGCTTTATTTTCCCTGCAGATTCTCCCTTCCATCCATGTTTACACCAAGGTAAGGAGGAAGAATAAATTGACTACAAGTGCGGTGATGTCACTGCATCTGTATTCCATTAAAACCACAAGTCCCTCTGCCGCAGTGGCTGACAGGATTCACAGTTTCTCCATTCACAGATCCTGTGAAAGGATCTGTGAATGGATGACATGACTGTGTGGTGGAGCCAAATTCAAACAAAACCAGCAGTCTGCGAGGTGAAGAACCCCGCAATTAAGGTAAGTTTTGGGGGTGTCTGCAATCTGACCATGATTCAGGTTGCACCCCTGATATAGGTGTAACATAAAACATGGTCACAAAGGTAAATTTAGCCTTTAAGGGAGAATTCCACAAGCAATAAAAGTAACTGAGATGAAAATCTGTGAACATATAGAACATATATATATATATGCAAACCCATACAATTAACTTCTTTTTTTCGCTCTCTTTTAGTCTGTTAAATACGGGACAACAAAGCAACCAATCACATTCTGCTTTTCATGTCTTCAGAGCAATATCAGCAAATAAATGGGAGGATATGATTGGTTCCTCCCACCAAGAGCTGTTCTTGTTTCAGAAAGTTTGATCAGTGAGGTTCATTGAGCGTAATTTATCAAAACTAGAGCAGACAAAATCTGAAGCAGCTGTGCATGGCAACCAATCACCTTCTCTCTTTCATTTTCAAATCTTTACTGAACAAACATAAGATAGAAGCTGATTGGTTGCCATGCACTGCTGCTCCAGATTTTGTCTGCTCCAGTTGTGATAAATTCCCCTCATTGTATTTAAATTGGAATATCTCCCTTTACATATTAGTGCTAGCTTGTACAAGGGGTAATTCTTGTCCAAAACTTGGAAAGCTGATAGTCTATGTAGTGAGCAACACTTCAAAGGAAGTAGCCAGTTTACCATAAATATGTGAAATAATGGTGACTAGTGGATGATCTTTGGTTTAGTCCGGCCTATCTGCCTCTGCTGGTTGCACTTATAAGTATGGGATAGTGTGAATGTTTATGGTGCCGTGCTTGTATACAGACCATGTATCCAAAACTCACCCCGGACTTCCAGTCTGCATTCAGTCTCTGCCGATCCATGTTCATTCACAGCTTTGCAGGAGTAGACGCCACCATCGAAGGGGCTAGGCTTCCTCAATTCTAGGGTCAGTACACCCTGCTTACTGAAAGACCTGTAACGAGCCTCTCCTGACAGGTCCATCTTGTTCTTGTACCAAGTGACCTTGGGCTGCAGAAATTCAGGAGATGATAGAAAAGGATAGGAGGTGGGGGTTAGTCTGCTGCATACATTCGGGATGGTTTATATCTCTCAAAAATGAATAAAGAAATTAATTAAAATGATAAAAATATAGCATATGAATATTACTTTTTAATGAGACATTCCTAATGCCTCCAACATACGAATGCTGACAAAGCAAAACAAACATTCATTACAGGTACATTCAGCTCGTGGGAATATAGCAAAATACATTTGGGACAGTCATACAAAGGAAAGCTGAACACTCCATATTCCGGCATGGAATGAATGTTATTGTTCAGTATGTAACACGTGGAGCGCAGCTTTCCATTGAAGGAGCAGGGTGAAAAATGTTTCTTGAACAAACAAAATTCTAACAGAGAATGTGGTTTTCATTTTGGAAACTCCATTTATTTCCAATATCGAATGTTAAAACAGGTACTGCTAGAATGAGATACTAATAGGTTGGACTTGATGGACTAATGTCTTTATTCAACCTCAAATACTATGTAACTATGTGTCAAAATCTACCAGTGTATGGCCAGCTTTACACAAACTGCACCTGTAGCCTTGTCCTTTCAGTAATCACCTACTGCTCATGAACAAAGGTTTGGACAGAGTCATTGATTGATTGGTCATGGACAAGCCTTGTTGAATGACTATGTCCACACTTCCCACCGGCAACTGGTACAATATCCACCACACTATAGCTGCTGGCCCAATCCTTTTTTTAACGTTGTGCTCATTTTCTCCATAATTGATAACAAGGATCCTGAGGCATTTAAACTAATTCACAGAGGGCAGCATTTCCTCATCCAGAAAGAGCTCTTGGTTCCTTTCCAACACAGCACTTGTATAGTACTACTAGGGATGGATTGCCATCACTGGAGCTTGTAGGAACGTAGGTTTTGGTGCCCTAAGAACACCCCTGCTAGAAGCACCTCTTTTACACCAAATATTAACTTATTTTCCTGGTTCTAACCCGGTTTAGAATGTTGTGATACTGAGTAGTAACTTTAGCTATGAGATGGATGCACCCACTGATTAAGAAAAAGCTGCCTCTTTGTCTCTACAGCCGATAGTCACAAGCCTACTGAACCTAATGATAAATCCAGCCCTTGGTACAAAATGAAGGCCAAAATGTGTTTGCTATAGAAAAAAAACAGTATATTTATTCCTATAACACTTGATTATTATATAAGCCATAGATGCCCAGGTCTGTGTGCACATTAAAAACAAGACATAACACTTACCCTGGGTGTCCCACGTATAGAGCAGCTGAGAGTCGCATTGTAGCCGGCAACTACAGAGCGGCTCACAAGTGGATGTGTAAATTTAGGAGCCTCCTCAAACTCGTGATCCTTGTAATTGGGGGGTTTGTATTGAGCGCCTGGGGAAAGGAAATAAAGAAGCATGTGATTAGGAAGGTAAGATGTTATAGCAGAGCAAAGATGTGATTGGTTTCATGCAATGAGCTAGATAATGCAAAACTCATGATACAAGTTACGATATATATAAAATATTGCAGAAATGACTTATTGGTTCAATGGAAGCAAAGGGGGGAATCCTATGACAAGCAACGTTTCACTGAGTGATCTCCTTTGAGAAAAATGAACATATAGAAATTTCCTATGCTCCTCGGCTCCATCGAGTGATGGAATGTCGTGCGAACAGCATCCACCCAGCATATGGCTGTGAGGGAGTTTTATAAATAGACCCCATAATGTAAAGGCCATAGGGAAACTTTTCTTTGTTCCAGTATGAGGGGACAATTCAATTCCCTGAGATGTACGCAGCTCTAGCAAACAGCACAGCCAAACTAGTGGCCAGACATTTATCTGCTAAAGTTAGGTCACCTGCCCGCCCTCGGCCTGAGATTGAACGGTGAAAGAGCAGCAATAGACGGAAGAGGTCATCTCTCTACCCGCTCCTCCTGTCTGCATGTTCCTTGTTAGTATGTGTGAATGCAGGACACCTGTTTGGCCCCAAGTTCTGCCCCTCCCTCTCTCCCAGTCTGAGTGCTGTTGTACGGAGGATTACATGAGGCCGATACCAATTCAGACATTTACAGTATACTAGATCCATTTAAAATACATTTAGGGGCATTCAGCAGCCATTCACTGCATGTGTATCTTCCTGGCCAATGTGTATTAATATAGAGTAAATTATTCACTCCCAGTGAATGTGTGGTAAATGTCACATCCACTGCTTCATAAATCCACTGCTTCCCCTTAAAGCAGAACTCCAGGTAAAAATGTTATTAACCTGTGCAGTGGGGCTACCGCTCCATTGCAAGGGTTAAGTGCTCATTTTTGCCTATGGTCAGTAATAAAAAAGTTATACTCACCTGCTCCTCCCTACCGGCTTGCTCTTAGACCGGCCCCTGAGCCTCTCTCCACCTCTTCTGCAGCGGTCTGAGGTCTTGTGAGCCATAACGTTCTATACACAGAATGTGAGACATTCTATTTCTAGAATGTGAGGAAGCCAAGGGACATGCCATTGCTATAGTGGAGAAGGAGGCCGGCTTGGAGGATTAGGTGAGTATAACTTTGTTATTTTTGACACTAGGAAAAAAAAATTACCATTTAACCCTTTCAGTGCAGAGGTAACCCCACTGCAAGGGTTAATAACATGTTTACCTGGAGCTCTGCCTAGAGCTGAGTTTTAAATATAAAGAAGAAAGTACTTAGAGAGGCAGCAATACTGCTGTTTTCACTGGGAACGCCTGCACAGTAAAACAATTATTTTGGAAATCCTTCCCTTTGAAATCGGTTGTTCGCCACTCATGAACTCAAAGATTTTGCTACGAGACTCTGAGATCTTTGTGAAAACATCTTCCAGTCTATGGGCAGCATTCATTATACTAAACTGTTATAGAAAGGAGAGACGCAAGGTTCATTCAGAAAGCTGATAAGACTGACAGGCAGAGAGGCTCATTACCTGGAATTTCCAGGCATGATACGGATAGTTTGACAGACTCCATTCATCACTATAATGAACGGAGCCGTCATTCAAACACAATGCCTCCTTGGGCTTTTTTTTTGTGTGACTGCCGATAACTGCTAGAACAATAATCTGTGCTGTGAGTGAACAGCAGCTCTGTAATGAATAGGACCTGTCAAACGTGTTGGACCACAAGCAGCTGTATCTATCTGAACAAGCCCTTCAAGGGATAGTCTATAAAAAGTGCCTCATTTTCCCCTGCCAACCACAATTATTCTTCCGTTTGTAGCCTTGCTATTAACAGCTGGGCTCTGGCTGCGTTTTATGGACAAGCTGGCTTTTGTTCCTCTAGTTTTAAAGTACAGCTATGTATGTTGTATCACGACTTGAACTCTATAAACATGGAAGAAATGTTTCTCTCTGTGCCTGTCATTTGTCAAATAGAATATTATACTTTAATGTGAATCCTGGAAAAAATACTGTAGCGTTTGTGGTCTGGTAATGAGATTCATACTTAGCCCTTATCCTGTTACTATTGTGGCCTATGTGTTAGGCTTATGTCCTTTTCAGGGGTCGATGATAGAACTTTCACATTAGAGTATCTGCTCCATAATATTTATGGTCCCTGCTATATAGGATCTTTGACACCAGTGGGACTGCTGTCTGGACTAAGTCCTTCCACCACTCCAAAGAGACTTACATGGTTATTCACAAAAGGGTGATGACGGCAGGAGAAGTGAACTATCTAAGACAACATAGATGATTTGGAAAAATTCTCCAATTCAGCTCACTTTCCGGTTCAGCTATGTTGTCCTAGATTGTTCACTTCTCCGGCCTTCTCCAAACTCTTCACCCTTTTGTGAATAACACTGATAGTAATCTCTAATGGGTCCAAATAGCAGTTTCCAAAGAGAGAGCCAGATTCGGATCCTACAGAGTCACAGGGGAACTAAATGGAGGAGCTACATGGTACAGTCCCTGTACAAAGGTCTGAATCAAGGAGCAAAAGGCCAACTGTATCTTAAGCAAAATAAAAAATGGCAGAAGTCTGACTTCTGTGTGCTTAGTGCTGAGAGCTTAATGTTGTCCAGACACAGCCGCAGGAAGTAGAAGTTGGTCCCACAAAGACATTCCAAGGGTGGAACCCCCGAAACTGACAGCAAGTGAAGTATGCCTTCAATGTCCAATGATAAATACTGCAGGAAGTAGCCTTCCTAGCTTTTAGCATTGCAGGAATCACAGATAAAGAGATGCCCCTGCCTCTCAAAACATCGGCTTCAACAGTCATGCCGTTAAAGCTAGCGACTGTGAAGCAGGTTGGTAAATCGGTCCTTGAGACAGAAGATCCTGATGATCTGAAAGAGCCCACAGAGTGTCCGCTCTGAGTTTTATCAGGTTGGGCCAGTCCAGAGCAGCAAGGAATGCCCTCCATCTTGATCCTGCCAAGCAGATGAGGAAAACGTTGTAGGGGAGGAATGGCATAGATCAGAATGTGCTGATCTTACTTAGCCACCAGAGCATCCACGGCTTCTGCTTGAGGATCCGTGTATGGGAGGACAGGAAGTCCACATTCGGTGTCCCTGACCTACAACGCAGGCCCTTCCCTCATGTCCTGACACTGCTGGCTGAGGAGGTCTGCCTGCTAATTGTCTATGCCTTGGATATACATGGTGGACAGAGCTGGAATGTGAAGTTCTGCCCCAGACAAGAATCCAACCTATCTCTTTTGCAACTGCAAAAATTTTGGCTCCTCCCTGATGGTTGATGTACTCCACACTGCCATGGTGTCTGAATGAATCGGGATCTCCTGACCTTCCAGTGGGGTAGTCCAATGCTGCAGAGGCAGTCAAATGTCCGAAGCTCCAGGTTGGTAATCACAGGATACAACTCAAATGATAACCATGACTCCTGCACCAATAGGGTACCCCTCGCCAGCCTGAAAGGCTGGGATCTGTAGTCAGGATCAGATGTAATCCAGATGTAGAGATTGGCAAGGGCATATTTCTTTCCAGACAAGATTCTTTTAAAAGCTAGGACAAAGATATCAACTTGTAGGGGACAAAATATTAGACAGAGAGATTACCTTTTACAAGGATATACCTCCCATCTGTACGGGTACTTGGGTAAAAATATAGTCATCAGCCTAAAGGCAGGTTCTTACCAGTCTTCAGTATATTTGCAAAGTCCTTGGAGGTTATGGGATTTTCACTCAGTCCACACATGTTCTCACTGAAAATTCGGAAGTGGTACTGATTGCCCATGACCAGATCGGACACTACACAGTGCAGACGTCTGTAGTGTTCAAAGACGGTGAACCATTCCTGAGATAGTGAGGATGAAAAAAGAATATAAAATTCCAAGTTAAAAATCACGAATAGAACATGAATAGTCTTTTACAGATTGAAACCCCTGACCAAAATGTTCATGAAACGTTCTCCAGCATGGCGACAGTTTACCCCATAGTCATAAAGGATTGCTCCACTTTTTTGGACAATTAAGGCAGAAGGGTGGAATGCAGAGGAGGGACAGTGGCTGCGGGTAAGATGAAGTTATGGAGCTTCAAGAACCAAAGACTCTATTTGGGTTCACAGAACCTCTGCTATTGTACATGAATAGAGTTCACCGGCAGAATTTGTGTCTTGCTTCTGAGGTAATTGGGGAGAGAATTCCTTAAAGTGTATGTCTGAGCAAAAAATAATATTACATCTCTGCCATACATGCACATTAACCCATTTTTTATCCCACTAAACATACTTCAAATATAAACACTAAAATGTTGATCCTGCCATAAGTTCAGCGAGCTCCTATCTTCCTGTGCTCTATGCTTCTTAATCAGTGCTTTCAGTCCTGCCCACTCATTTGCTGTGCCCTGTGGAACCTCCCCTATGTTATGGAGATAAGGAGGAAGTTCTGTGGTCCAGGAGAAGAGAACTGGGAAGGGCTGACAGCACTGGTTGGAATTTTAGTGCAGGCATTGTGTTGTCAGCTACAACAGGAAGTTAGGAGCTCACTAGATTTCTGGCAGATCATCGGGTATTTTTTTGTTAGTGTTTTTAAAAGAGACACAACATGGGGAAATGTGTATGTGCTGCACAGATGAAAGATGTACCAAATCTGTTTTTTATGCACACAATATGTATATAAAATTACCAAGCAAAATGGACTGGAATCCTGTTTTTAATCAGTATACATGAAACCTGTAGGTGATAATAATAATGCCTAACATAGGATCACTAGGAGATCAGCAGAAAAATAAGTTACCTTTGAAGTGGAATGGGTACAACGCAGGATATTATCTACAAATAATAAGTAACAATATAGCTTCCAACTGTCCTTTTCAGGTACCCAACCCCTCTATTCCTCTCTTTTTCCTCAGCTGTCCCTCCTTTTGGTCTGATGTATAGACCGCTATACAAATATGTACCATTTCAATAAAATGTTATACTGCACTAAACCTTTCGGCCAACTTCTACAATGTTTGCATTTGTTATTTTGAAAAGCCAGAATCCAGGAAAAGTAGTGGTGAAAGAAAAACAGTTGTGGGCATATCCACGCATTCCTAACATATTAATCCTTCATGGTCCACGTGACTTTGTGCTGACAGGTCCTCTTTTCCATCCTGGAAAGCTGGGAGGTGTATTATATAGGAACCATCAGTGGTTTCTTGGTCTCTGTACAATTTCTGCATTTCTTTTCCCATTCACTCTTTGAATGTTTAGAGAACATTTTAGCATCAATTACAAAGAAGAGCTAGGAGCTTCAGAGGTTGGGGTAGAGTCTTAACCCAGCAAGTGACGAATCAAAGGAAGAACTATTAGAACTTTGTAATATAGTTCTAACATGCAATGTCTATGTTCAAAGTGCGGTGACAATGAGCTTATCGAAAACCACAAACATCACAGTAGGCAGTAGGCACTGATGTGCTTTACACATGGCCGCTGCAAAGTAAGCTCATCGTCAGCTTTGAAACATAAACACAAATTTGAATAGTCTGCCTTTGTATTCTGCACTCAACTTCTGAGGTGAGAGGAACCAGAAAACAAACCATAGAGAGAAGCAAAAATGAAAAGGAGGCCCTCCAGAGCAGCAGTGACCCAGTAGGACATCATAATATGATATGGCCCCTGCACAGAACTCACCATGGTCTTCTTGTCTGCTTTTTGGATGGTGTAACCCGTTATCTCAGTATTTCCGTCATCCTGGGGTGGAGCCCATTCCAGAGCCACATTGAATCCCCATACTTCCACAATCTTCAACTTCTGAGGAGCACTGGGCTTGTCTAGGAGACATGATTCCTTGTAAAATCACATTTGAAACACATACAATGGATGGCAACTGTCTGTGTAGGCCCTTTCTATTGCAGCCACTTACCTACAATCTGGATATGGACGGTAGCTGAGTCCTCACAGTTCTCAATCTGGATCTTAACTTGGTACTCGCCAGAGTGGTGTCTCTCGGCAGATCTGATGAACAGGATGGTGTCGGCTTCACTGTTTCTGATACCAATCTGTTTTGGATCAATGGGTTGCCCATCCTTCAGCCAGGTGACGATGGGGCGAGGCTTTCCCTATAACAACACCCCCCCAAAAAAAATTGTGTTACAGCCAAGGGATGGTCGTAAACAAGGAAAACACCCTCTTCCAAGGACCACAATATAAACTGCAAGGGTTTTAGCAAACTGTTCTTTAGATTCCTACATGACTTTGTTCTGTTTCGCTGTCTCTTTCCTTCAATGATGCCTCATTTTCCTGGCACATGCACTGGGACAGGATGTCTTTATGGAGACTCCAGGGGTTTTGGTGGATGAGGCTCCATGGTATTGAGATTTTTTTAAATAAAACTGCTATTCAGCCGATTGGAGTTTTTACTTGACAGTCAATAAAAAGGTAAATACTGATGGTTGGTACTTTGTTCACATATCACCCGTGGCATGGCAAAATGAAAGAAATCAGAATGAATGAATTAGAACTGAGTGAAAATAATTCTCAAAGACCACATTATGTCTATTGATGGCTACATCTACCTAAATCCAATGATTATAGAACTTTCTTACCTAAAACGATAGTAAAATTGTAACTTACAACATTAAAGTGGTTTCCACTTTCATCGCACAGTAGAAATATTCCCTTCAATAGGGAAATATAATCTCTTTGTACCCATGTGAATGTTTACATGATCTCTATCCACTTTCTGCATTTCTCCTCAATGATACCTCAGATCAAACATACAGAATGGATGTAACACTGTATAGGATGTAATGATTTGCAGGACCTTAGACTGCTGGAGCGGAGGGGGAGAGAGCCTCCAGGGACCGGTGTAACTGCCAGCCATGATCGTGGGTCAGGTGAGTATATTATCTGTTATTTTCTCTGTGTCTCTGAAAGCATTCCACATATTTATTGGGGATTCGGGCCCTTCTGTATTTTTGGGGACAGCCATGAAATTCCCACCTACTTAACAAGAATTCACAACATACGCAGAGATCCTTCTGATTAGTCTTCCTTTGTTGTCCTTAGCCATGCTCTCAGTCTATTTCTAACATTTGTAAAATGATAATAATGGTCTCCAGCTATGTGCATGTCCTGCGTATCCTCTTGCATTTCAAATCAACACAGTAGCTTAAATTTACCTAGCACATGGCTTGTGTCTTCTGCTATTGTCCTCAGTCAGCATCTCTAAAATTGTACTAACTAGCATACTTATGTGTCATTCCTCGCACTCGTCTTCCCACACCTCTGCTCATTGTGTGCCCTGATATCAGTCATCGCTGTGTCCCTCCGCCAAAACTCACATACAACACGCCAACTGCCAGGTACTGCAGACCTGACAATTAACTTGCCTATAACTACACCACTAAAAATTGCTCCTGTTTAAAAATAAATACATTATATTTATTTTTTTAATGAATTTTTTCAATTCATGTATTTTTTAATTATTTTTTGGACTTAGTGACTTTTTGGACTTAGTGACACTTTAACATGTCACGTGTCAAGAAAAATACTTTGACTGTCAATGCTGATCTCCCAATCAAAGGCTTCAGGATTTCTTAACATGTATTCAGATCAGGAAGGTCAATGAAAAGCCACAAGTCAACATGCGTATGCTTATATTCAAAGTAAGGGTCAGTATATGACTATCAGTGCAAAATGTTTGTGCGCAAGATCCCTGGGCCAAGAAACAACATGCTAAAAACAGGCAATTCATAATGTGGCATTTTTTGGCACCAAAGTTCCAAAACAACCAAACCCAGAAGCTGAAAAACCCCCCATAGTTTTCTAAAGTCCATAGCCCGGTGTGTTATGAGCTTTAAATTGGCCATATACTGCTCCAATTTCATTCAATTCCTGCCGAAATTTGAGCCATGGGCGGCTCTCTTGTCCCCACCCGAAACAACAATGTATGGCCAGTGTAAAGGCCAACTATAGCAATCTTTTTGTTTGGGATAAAATTGGCTGATGTAGCAATATAGTCACATTTAGCACCCTGGTCATACCTGGAAGGGAATAACAATGTTCACCGTCTCGCCAACCTTCTTCACAAATTTCTGTCTCAGGTAACGAGGCAGCCAGATCTTTGGCTTTTCTGTAGGATAGGCAACATACAGTTAGAAAGTATATTTAGAATATAATGGTAGTATGCAGACAAGGAAAATCTGGAGGTGGCCAAATTGAGATTTTCAATTTACTCCCTGTTTTTCCATTAATTAGGAGAATCTACCCAATAAGGACACCGATGAGCCTCTCCGAATTCTACTAAAAAAATGCTTTTTTTGCTTCTCCGGAGAAAAGAACAGCGGGCAAAAGTATTAGAGAGACATCGTTACCAGAGTGACTCCATTCAGGTAATAATAACTAAAGAATGCCCCAGACTTCTCACCTGCCTTAGAGGTAAGCAATGTCTATATTAAAGCAAGAGTGGTTTCAGCCCCCACTAGACCCAAATGTGGTATAAACTGCCCCCAAGTTCCATAGGGCAACTGAACAAAATGTATTTACTATTGCTATTACTATTGCTATTAACCCCACGGGAGCCGACCAATTAAACTTAAAGAAAAGGCACACAAAACATTGCCACTGCCAGCAACCATTCAGATTTCACTTCATTTGGATAAAAATTTAAACAAGAATTCTGATTGGATGCCTTGGGAACAAATTTACTTATGTGCTCATTTACGTTTTCTTCAATTTCATTGAATCTGTTGCCAGATCCAACCACTTTTTGCTGGAAGAGCTGACAATCCTCATAACTAACAGTAATACTATCTGACTTCCCACCCCATGCTATCCAAAAAGGAAAAAAAGGTTTGGCTAGAGATCTACTTTATCTTCCATCGTGTTGCTGTGTCTAATTTTTGTGAACTCACGCATGATCTCCCGGATGGTCACAGGCTCCTTCATGGTGCATGGCTCGCTGGGTCCTGCAAGGTTGATGGCCTTGACCCTGAAAGAGAGTCTTTCCCCAGTGGGCAGGTCTCTTATCAGACATGAGGTCCTCTCAGTCAGGCCCTTTAGAGCTGGTACCCATTCTGAGGCTGTAGAAGGCAACAAAAATAAAATGAGAACAAAGCAAGAGATCAAGAGGAAAGCAGATGAAGGTGCTGAGCCAACAATAGATGGAACAATGTATGTTTCAGTGGATGCAGATGGAGATTTTTATAAAGAGGTGGAAAAGGAGGAGCGAGAAGATGGATTGTGGGCCTTTTGCTGCCTATCGGTATCATTCAAGTTCTGCTTCCACCGTTCTTTGTGGTGAACAGACAAGTGCTTCCTCATGCATAAGGTACCCAAATGACTGGTAGATTTACCATGCTTGATATACTGAGGCTGCAAACCCCTACAATGCTGTCCTCAGCACATGTGTGAAAAATACACTGGTGAGCCCTGTAAAGCTGAACTGGGCATTCCAGTGGCAGCACCCATGGAGCAGTGCCATTCGATGAAATAGGTCTGCTGCTCCCTCTACTCCCTTGCAAGTTGCCCCTGGACAACATCTTACCTTGATGATGTTGAGCCTCTCCCCCAATTTCTTCCTCTACAATCTTGTGCATCCAGGTACCGTGTTTCCCCGAAAATAAGACACTGTCTTATATTTTTTGGGGCTCAAAAAAACACACTAGGTCTTATTTTCGGGGGAGGTCTTATATTTTAGCAATTCCCAAAAATCGTACTAGGTCTTATTTTCGGGGGAGGTCTTATATTTTAGCAATTCCCAAAAATCGTACTAGGTCTTATTTTCGGGGGAGGTCTTATATTTTAGCAATTCCCAAAAATCGTACTAGGTCTTATTTTCGGGGGAGGTCTTATATTTTAGCAATTCCCAAAAATCGTACTAGGTCTTATTTTCGGGGGAGGTCTTATATTTTAGCAATTCCCAAAAATCGTACTAGGTCTTATTTTCGGGGGAGGTCTTATATTTTAGCAATTCCCAAAAATCGTACTAGGTCTTATTTTCGGGGGAGGTCTTATATTTTAGCAATTCCCAAAAATCGTACTAGGTCTTATTTTCGGGGGAGGTCTTATATTTTAGCAATTCCCAAAAATCGTACTAGGTCTTATTTTCGGGGTAGGTCTTATATTTGAGCAATTCCCAAAAATAGTACTAGGTCTTATTTTCGGGGAAACAGGGTACGGTCCGCTACCTCATCATCCACACCCTCCTCATCACCTAAGTTGCAACTACAAAAACATCACTGGCAATTGTTTCTCCCTGCCTGTTGTCCTCTCCTGTCTATGTTCCTGGCACTTTCTTCCTCAACATCTAATATAATGAATTCCTGTGTATCCTCCTGCAACAAGTTTTTAATGGTGTGTTGAAATAATTCAGCCGACTCCTCAATGCCAGTTTGTAGGGCAACACCGGCATTAGGTGTAGAAGAGGAGGAAAAAGAAGGCGCATTTGTAGCAGCTGATGACACTGCACTATTCTGCATTTGGGTGAAGGGAGAAGAGGATGATGAGAGCTTGCTTATCCACTTCACTGGCTCCTTGGTGTGCTCGGACAGTATAGCACACCCCCTGCCAGAAAGGGAAGGCAAACATGCCCTGTCTCTCAAAGGTGCATCCTGACCACCGCATTGGCCTACACGTGCAGAACCTGCTTGTCCCTATAGCTGCGTGTGAAGAACATCTGCCTCTTCCTTTAGGCCTTCCGGGGATGATGGAAACAGGGGATTGCCTATTCATTTCATTACCAGCTACGGCAATAGGTAGATGGGGTATCTAGTGCTTTTGTGTACGTCACAATCTTGTGATCTGGAGCTTGGCTGCAATAGTATATGGTGGTGATATGTTGCTAACAAAAAGGACAGCTTTGCCTGTGTCAGCAAAAGGTTTACGCTGCTGCGCTCGAAAAACGAAGATAAAAAACCCCTATTAAAATGATATAGAAATAAAATGCACCCCCTATAAAACAAAAACACTTTCTTACATTTTTAATTTAACAGAATCTAAAAAATAAAATAAAGAACCCCAATGAAACATAAAAAATAGAAACAAAAAGGGGAACAGCAGCTACACAGCAAAATAAGTTGTTATTGACACACTCTAAAGAGGTATTCCTGAACTGTTTGGTCTATTTACCGGGAATACAATGGGTGGTACACGCTGCATTGCAATTCACAGTAATGGGGCACTGGTGCTACTGAACAGCACAGTAAATACTTGGGATGGTGGTGAACTCCATCTGCTGTAGCCCATCACACTGCAATTCACTGTAATGCAGCAGTGGCACTATATAGCACTTTATATTACACTGTATAGTTCTGTAGGTAGCTACAGCACATGTAGTACAGCAGTAACTATCTCTCCTTGAAATTGCTTTGAAATGTCAGTTGTCGCTATCTACTCCAACTCCAACACACAGTGACAAAAGGCTGATGGGAGCTGTCTTTTATAGGGAGGGGACTGGCACATTTGCGTATTCCACAATTGGCCATACTATGCCATCTGACCACAGTTCAGATCATGCAATGCATTACAGGGGATCACTTTTGGTGTTTTGGACTTATGGGGGTGTTCACCACTCAGATGAACTGCGAACAGCCAAAGTTCGAGGCCACCCCTGCATTACTGCAAACTTGAACCTTATTCCTTACTAGCCACCCTGCTTGGCTTGCTCCTGATAGGACTACAGTAATACATTTCAACACATGCAGCATCAGCATGTAAGAACACATAAGAATGCCCACTAAAATCACCACAGTTAACTAACATGGGACTAGGTCTAGAAAATGCTATAGACAGAGCCCAAAGCCATAATAAGAAACAGATGGCAAAAAAACCCAAAACCTAATAGTGGTTTTGAATGTCTACTTGCCCTACAAAAAAATAAGTAGAAAAGGTTTGGCTTTAGATATATATTAATTAAACCCATATATAAGGAGATTTCTGATTGGCTCCTATGGCATACTGTGCTCTCCATGCTCTTTGCACTTTTTGGCTGCACAAAGCTGAAAGAGGACCCTGTATAAAAATACCCAACAACTGGCTTGTACAGACCTGGCACATTAATGCATGTGTTGGCAAATTGCTTTCAGCTTAACAGCACAGTGGAGCGTGTAATGTTTATTAATAAAACCTATGTGTCCACCAAGAATGCACTCACTCCTACATTTGTTTCATGCATCTGGCAAGTGTTTGATGCTTCGCCCCAGCGCATGCAGCCAGGATATCAGATAACGGGTTCTCTGAGTCATTTTTTTATTAGAGTTGGAAGAAGAGGAGGGCTTGATGGATATGTGGTGCTATCCTTCAATAAACTGTACACAAGGCGTCTGTAAATCCTCTCAGTGGCCTTTTGGGCACTCTGGCACACTCTGCGTGCTTCATCAGGATTGAAGGACCATGGACAGATGCTTGGATTTTGGTGACAGGGGGGAGCAAACATTCTGCCCAAATCTCATTAAATCATTATCAGTTGGATAGCGGCCAGCAGTAAATGGATACTTTGCAAGGGGCTCAGGTAGCACCTGATTAATAATAACAGGAATAGGGAGCCTGGATTATAATAATCTTCATCCTTGGCATCCATCCTGGGTCCTATAGTGTGCAGACTACAATCAGGCTGGAGTGCTTGGGATGGCAGGAACCCAGATCTGAAGAGGCAAGGAGGAACTGTAAAGGATAAGCTTCTAATCTGCTCTCTAATGTCAGGGAGAGTCTGTGATGATCCTGTGCCTACGTAAGGGGCTCATAATGTGCCAATGATAACAGACACTAAATCCATTGCTGTCTGTGTTCCAGGTCTTTGTGCTGTCACTCACAGATCAGTCACTGTGAAAATATTAGTTCTAACCAGACCCGGATTTAAATGTATCTAAACCCAATTTCTTTTTGTTTCAATAGAGTGATGGTGGGTTGGAACCTGTACCATGTTTTCAATGCTGTTTCCAACCGCACTGGAGAAATTCGCCCTCGCTATTTTCTTTGTGACCACTGTCCCCAGGACAGAAAGTAATAGGAAATTTAACATTTTACAGTTGAACAGGAATAAAGGGGAAATCATCCAATGGGGACACCTGTTTCGGTGACAACTGTCTAAGAGTGGAAACAAGATGTCACCAGCACACCAGAAATACAGTATGTGTCCAAACGTCTTTTATTATGCATATTGTCACAAGGATGGCCACACAGGGTCCCTTTATCAGGCTCAGGATAACACGGTGAAGGGACCCTGTGACAATATGCATCGATAAAAGACGTTTGCTTGGACACATATCTCCAGTGTACTGGTGACATCTTGTTTCTACATTGTTTGGAGCAGCGCCATCCGCGGTAATTTTAGCACCCATTAAGAACATAGGGGTTTACCAGTTTACCAGAGTGCGGTGGGATACCTACTGAACTAAGAGTATATAACCTCTCACTTCCTGTCTTGAGACAGTAAGTAAACTCTCCCCAATGGGAGATGTATAAAAATTATCAAAAAGTTTTGCTTTAAATTCACTGAGAGATGGAGGCTTCCATGGATGAGTCCTGAAATCGCAAGTTGCCTGGCTATCTTGGCAGTACTTTGAGACACTGACCTGGCGACACTGATTAGAAAGTCAGAGTGACAAGCCAGTGATCCTTAAGGATTACCATAATGATCAGGCAACTAGAATTTTCAAAAGTTGACAGCAGTAGCAGTCTACATATTATTATTGCAGGTTTAGTATATCTATACTCAAAGCTTTTCTTTTTTTTATTTTAGATACAGAGCACAGATTAGTAAAAACCCCTGTCTGGTTTTGTTTTGGGTCCCATTGGGAAAATTTCCCTTCACTTCCTGTTCTGTACACTGTAACAAAAGCAAATAAAAGGAAATCTTTCCAAAGTTTAGACAGTTTTCACAGGAGCAGGTGTCCACATTGGAAGATTTCCCCATCACCTCCTGTTTCAGTAACAATCATACAGTTTTGGAATTCCCATCACTTTCTGTCCCATGACAATTCTCAGAAGGACAAATAAAGAAGTTGACCCTCCCCAACAGGGACAGAAATAAAAACAAGGGTTTTAAATGTTTCCATACTATATCTAAAACTAAAAAACAATTAGGATATCTCTACACCTGAAGCCTAGGGTTGTCTAGTTGCTTTAGACAATTCCTCAAATTTTCTATTGTCTTTGTTATAGATGAGATGTGATCGTATCTTTGAATCACTGGACACATAATTACACATCATCAATATAACTTGCAGAAAAGGAGGCACTTTATGGTAAAGCAGGTCACTGGGGGCATTTCCAGGGACAAACTTTTCCTGTAACATATCTGTAAAACCTGGGAGTGTTCAGACCAGAGGCAGTTCATTCCTTAGACTCTTAGAACATTAAGGACTGATGGGAGTTTGATACTTACAACCCTCCTTGCAGTATTCCACGATGTAGCCGTCCAGTCCTCCTGCACCAATCCTCTCTGGAGGTCTCCATTTCAGTGTGATGCTGGTGTCACTGACATCGTCCACTATCAGCTGAGTGGGCTCACTGGTTGGAGCTAAAGGGAAGAAAAGGAAGTAAAGAATGTGAATTTTTACATGATATTATTGGCGTCACAAAACAGCTCTGACATTGATCTGAAAGAGGTACATTGTCTGTCTTCACTGTATCACTCTGTCCCCCACTCCACAAGTATCCCCTCAGCTGCCTCTGTCCTCCACTCCACAAGTCACCATTCTGCTGCCTCTGCCCCCCTCTGAAGTCCGCTCTGTCGGTGATGTATCAATACCCTGTCTGCATTTTTTAATATGGTGTGTTGCTGATATTGCATTCTTTGGACTTATACTATGACAGTGTCATCTGTCGTGCCACCATAGCATACCGCGCTAAATTTTCTATGCTTATGGACTAACCCTCTCCTACCCTTTCTCCCCAATCGTCTTTGCTCTAACAATCACTCCTGCTCCACAAATGTCCCTTCTGGTGTGTCGGTTCCCTGCCTCCTCTGTTATAACAATTAGGTGTGCTCTCTGCTGCTTCTGTTCTCCTCCACCTCTGATCTAACAAGTACCACCATTGCACAGTTGTGCCCTCTGCTGCCTCTGTCCCTTCTGTTCTATAAATTACCCCAGCTTCAACAGTGTTCCCTCTGCTGCCTTAGTCACCTTCTCTCTCTTCTCTAACATTATCCCCCACTTCACAAGTGCCCCCTCTGCTTGCTGCGTCCGCGGCTACCTGCACACTGCACTTCTGTCACAGGGCCACACCACTCTGAGAAAAAACAGCTCTACTCCAACACCTCTGCTATCTATCTATCTATCTATCTATCTATCTATCTATCTATCTATCTATCTATCTATCTATCTACAATACATAATATCTATAAACCTCACTTAATGTTTTTGTTTTATCAGTCCTGATGAATACAATGGTATTTGTGCAACTAGGACTAAAACATACATATTAAAATTTATATTTTTTCTGCAAAAGGCAAATAGAAATGAATGTGACAACTTTGTGCGTTGCACTTTTATTCCATATGGGTACCAGCTTTGCTTATTCTTAGATACCTAAGTTTTCATATTTTGCAGTACCCTCTCAATAGACACAATCAAGTGTTTAATAAAGCAGCACAGCGCAAGGAATGCAATAACCCAGAATAACCGATCAGATTTCCAATCATTGCAGTTTTCTGTCCTCAGGTTACTGCACTTGGTATTATTTTAGAAGGGTCACATTGGCTTAGGCTCTATGTGTCTATAGTAAT